AATGTTTAGAATTCCATTGGGTTTTCCCGTTGGAGATGCTTTATGTACAGGAAACTATTTTAGATAATAAATATTTAATTCAATTTAAAATTAGGTAAATAATAAAAGTCATGAAAAATGTTATCACAATGAACAATGGATTTTACAAATAAGGCTTAAATCGATGGCCCACTAGGCCCATATAAAGAAACCCTAGTATCTTTATAAGTTTCATTGTTTTTGAGTCTCCGTCATTTCTAGGGTTTGAGCCGACACAGACACAGACACAGACAGAGAGAGGAAAGATGCCGGCGGGACACGGAGTTCGGGCGAGAACAAGGGATCTGTTCGCGAGGCCTTTCAGGAAGAAGGGTTATATCCCACTCTCAACCTACCTCAGGACCTTCAAGGTCGGCGATTACGTCGATGTTAAGGTCAATGGTGCGATCCACAAGGGTATGCCTCACAAATTCTACCATGGCCGTACTGGTCGCATCTGGAACGTTACCAAGCGTGCCGTTGGTGTCGAAGTCAACAAGCAGGTCTCATTAATTCATCTTTATTTCTTGAAAGAGTTGGTTTTTGTTGAGCTATCGGCTTATAATTCTGAAATGGGCGATTAGGTTTGAAAGTGTTGTTCTTGCTCTAGTCTTTATGACGTTTTGATTTCGATTTGGGATATTGTGAAAGCATTGCTCTTAGTCCTTGTCTTAATGTTAAACTTTGTCTATTGGAATGTGAATTTTGAGTGTTACTCAATATGTGTTTTGGGGATATGATTAGATTGGGAACAGAATCATAAGGAAGAGAATCCATGTGCGGGTGGAGCATGTGCAGCAGTCAAGGTGTGCTGAGGAGTTTAAGCTGAGGAAGAAGAAGAACGATGAGCTCAAGGCTGCAGCCAAAGCCAGAGGAGAGACTATCAGTACCAAGAGACAGCCTAAAGGTCCTAAACCGGGTTTCATGGTTGAAGGTATGACCTTAGAGACTGTCACTCCCATCCCTTACGATGTCGTCAACGATCTCAAGGGCGGATATTAAGTTTCCATTTCCCCTGTCTCTATCTCAGAATTTTTGCACTTGCTTTGTTTTTACAATATGTTTTTCCATCGAACAAGATTGGTTTCTATATGGTATGACAGTGCAGTTCAGGTTTTGTTATGGGAGACCTAATCATTTGCTTATTGCATTAGTTTTGTATGTAAAATCATTTTAGACCTGCTTTCTTCACAAAATGATTTCATGGCAAAAAATTTAGAGTCTTTATCAGAAATCGAAAGTGACCACACAGAAGATGACTTCTCTCTTACAATGCAAGCCTTAGAATTTGCTTCATTCTGATTGCCGATTGGTGTTGTAGTCTTTGCCTCTTTGGTTCCTACTCTATTTAGCACAACCATTGTCTTGATGTGGAACTTGCAACATTAGGAACCTTGCCCCCTCTGCATGTGAATTATTTCACTGGAGTAGTGGAATTACCTCGAGTAATGATCCACCAGCCTCTTGTTGTGTTTCATTGGTCTTTGTCACTTCAAAATCGATAGTAGGCACAGTATTAGTGAAATATGTCAGAATATAGACGCCAAAGCTCACTTTCTAAAAAGAGATATTGGATCACCAGTGGTCAAAAATTACTACAAGAGACATCTTCAGGATTCACTATGAGCTCCAAAGAAAGAATCTGCAATGTAATGCATCAATTTGTTGGGTCTCTATGTATATATGTGTGTCAGTTTAAAGCTCCCAAGAACATCATGAAACAGTTTATTACCTATTCGCAAAAAAGGTAGCTTTATCGGCTAAAGAAAACAAAGTAGCATCCTCTTTGCGGCAAGTATAAGTCAATTGCAAGGGAGAAAGGGCAACGTGACTTGAAATGATCATCAGCTATCAGAAGGATTGTTTACCGTTTACAACCTTCTTATGTGTACCGATCGTAAGATCAGTGTAGAACAAGGCCAATGTGCTTTAGACTGGTAAAAGTTTCGAATTTTGAACGCTATGGTTTGAAAGAAAGAAAGAGATGACACACACAAATGGATCAAAAATCACCGGAAGAGTTACTAGTTCATATTCTCGCCTTATGCAATGATATGTTTTTATTCCTGCTTCTGTTTCATTAAGCTACATTGAGAGACTCAAGATATTGGAATTAACAATTAAAGCCACAAAAAACAGAGAGACCAATCGAAACAACATCACTTTCTAACATCGTGAAGTTCAGCGAGACCAACGGCTCGAAATAGCCACAACAGGGCCAGCCTGACCAGCAAGAGCAACCATGGCTGGTGAGGCACACCTATGAACCATCTCAGGGAGTAATCCGATCCCTAAGAGCAATGCACCTATCAGACCAACCACTGAGCCAAACCATGCACATGGCAGAGCCAGTGGGAAGTTATATGTTTTCGTCTTCTTCAGAGAATCGTCCTCCCTACCTTCATCAGATGGAATGGAGGTTAAAACTTGCCCAACCTCTTTAACGACCATCTTGATAAACTTGGCCTCGGACCTGTGAAATTGGAGAGAAAAAATCACTGAGATCCTTTGACGTTGAAACTGTATCTCACAATCAATGATGCCCGTTGAGATTCTTGTTCCAACATTCCAACAGAGTTGCCTTATAGATGCCTCATAAAAATTTACAATATATAAAGAAACATAATAACAAGTCTATTTGACAAAATCTCCCAATTAGATTTCATTCAAAAAAACTTTAGGCTTTAGTTTGGGCATCATTGAACTATTCAATTTTGATATTAACAATAAAAAATATTTTAACAAAAATCAATTGACATTTCCTTGAACAAACTGTAGGTATATTTATTAATTTACACACGATGTATATATATATTTTTTTTCTGAAAAGAAGTTCGACGACCATCATATTGTATATTTTATTCTTTTTGAAAAATATTTAATCATGTAAGAAAATTGATATAATTAAAATAGTATAGTAACAAGAAAAAGAAAATCGTGTGAGTCTTTGATCTAGTGGTATTTGAATCCAGTGGCAGATTTAAAAATAAAATTAGCAGGAACATATATATATATATTAAAGTTTGATTGATCATTTTTTTAAAATGCCATTTTTGAGAAATGCCACTTTTCAAAAAAGCCATTATTTTTGAAAATTTTCAAAAATGCCACTAATAATATATCATTTACTCAAAATATCATTTGTATTTGGGTTAACTATGTTATTTTAATGTTTAGTTTTTGGGGTTAAGGGTTTGTTAGGGTAAAAAAATTATGGGCTTTACTATACCTTATTATTTGACATTTCCTTGATCAAACTATAGGTAATTTATTAATTTACACACGATGTATCTCTTCTAGAAAGAAGTTTGGCGACCATC